TCGGGCACCCCCTGCCGCGTCTTTCGCCGTTTCGTCCTCTTCGTCGTCTGTTGGGCCCTCGTCGGCGTCGGCCGCCTCGCTCAGGCTCACGGCAAAGACCTCGGCGAGGAGTTCGCAGCAGACGCGCGCGCTCTCCCACGGCCGCCCGCGCCGCTGCCGCGCGCACAGCCGACGGAGGAGTTCGCAGGCGAGAGGGTGAACGTAACACCCCCCGATGGCGGCCTCGAGGGCCTCTAAAATAAATCCCGTAAGGGGCTGCGCATCGTCAAGAAGGGAGGGGAAGACGACAACCGTCTGGAGGTTCCGCTCACGATGCGGTCGCCCCCTTCTTTCCCCTTCTTTTTCCTCTTCTTCTTCTTCTCGTTGACTTTTCCCGCCGTTGGTTTCGCCTACCCGTCGATCGCGCGTGGGGATGGCGATGCGGTGCGAAAACGCCACCGTCGAGCCGCTGCGGTAGAGAATCGCCTCCACCCGCGCGGACCCCCCTCCGGAAGGCCCCGAAGAAGGCGAGGAAGTCGCTCGCAACGGAAAGGCCGTGAGGTAATTCTTCGCGCTCGGGAATTCCAAAAGAAGCACGGGATCGTACAACGCGATGGCATTCGCGGTGGGAAAATTGCACACCATCACCGGCTGCGGCGAGGAATCAAGAAGACAGGGCAGCCGCATCGGGAGATTCGCGCCTGGGAGGGTAAAAAGCAGCCGCAGGTCGCCCGATCGCCCCGGGGAATCCTCCCCGCCGCCACGAAACGACGGCGCCCGCACGACGAGAATCCTCGCGAGGTCGGCGTCGTGGAGGAAAAAAAGCGTCGCCGCCATCCCGTCGTGTGCGGCGACGACAAGGGAGATTGCAGCGGGGGTGGAAGGCGATACGGGAACGACGAGCTGCTGAGGGAGCCACTCCCACGTGAGAAGATCGAGATCGTGGCGAGGGCGCGTCACCGCAAGGCGAAGTCGATTCGCCACCGTGCTGAGGGCAACCACAACACTGCGCTCGTCAGCCTCGCCGAAGCCGGGGTACTGCGAAAGAACGCGAGCCCCGAGCGATCGACAGGGCGCCCCTCCTCCTGTGGGATCCAAACCCGTTGTGGGTATCGTGAAACGATTCACCGTATCACTAAAACCGGAATCCCCTGATTTTGGAGGGTTCTGGCCGCGTGGGAATTCCACCCCGGGAGAGAAATCGGAGGTTAAGGGGTGTCGAAACGCCTCGAATGGGCGGCTGGAAGGGCCTTTCACCGCCTCCTGATGCCATCCCGGATTCCCACTAAGCGAATCGCCTTCCCCGCGCAGATAGACCGGCTTAATCACTAACGGGGAGGCCATCCACCACAGATCTGTAGCGGGGTAGAACGCCTTTCCTTCCAGCTCAATCGCGCCATATGGCTCCACCCGTTCCGTCTGCCGCTCGCCCTGCACGAAGACCCCTCCCATCCCTGCGATCGCGCTCACCAGCCGAAGGCTATACAGCACGAGCTTCGTCAGGCTCACATCCTGAACGCGATAGGCCGTACACAGGGTGTGGGCGTACCCCACAACGTGATGAAAGTGCGGATTTTTCAGCTCCTCCTGGTGAAACACGCAGAGGTACAGCTCGAGAGAGCAGTCCCCCGGTGGCACGACGGACGATGACATGCCAAACCTCGGCAAATCCTCGAATTGGCCCCCATCCTCGTCGCCGGAGGACGAAACCAAACGGGTCCGAACGCGCCTGGCGGGCGCACAGCCAGGAGTATAAAAATAGGCGAGAAAGGCCGATAAAACGCCGCGATGGGTGACGCTAAACAGGGTTTTGCCCACACGTTTTAAGACCACATCAGTTAAGCCGTTAGGCTGAGGATGCCCTAGCTCGACTGTATACTCCGGGTTCTCAGTAAACATGTGCATAATTCTATTTTTAGCGATAAATAGCTAGACTTTGTGGTTCACCGAACCTTTGGGAAAACTGAGATGATACGTAAACAGGTGGATAGATTCAAAGTATTCACGAGTTCATCGCGAAAATTTAGTACCTCCCTAAATGGGTAGTATAATAGAGACCGTAAACAAGGTAAAAATTAAAAATATTGTGTTTTTGAATTTATTCCAAGGTATAACCAGTAAGAATAGAAGCGGATAAGTAAGAGGAAAACAAAAGAAACGGAGGTGTATGAAAGTTTACAAGTGTACAAACAAGCAGGAAAAAGATAAAAAAAAAACACACTACAATTGCCGGACGGCATGCTCCTGCTCTGCATGGTGGATAAGTTCTAACAGGGCAGGATCCATCTCCAACTGATCCGTATTGACGTAGCATCTGCCAGCAAGCGGAGAATATCGTTGCTTTATGGAGTTTCTCGGCGCGAAAGGCACCATTTTCAGCTCCTGATACGGGTCTAGGAGTTGCGAACGATGACAGGGCACCCAAAAGGCATCCCGGAAGCAACTCAGGTCGTGTTCTTGCACGGTCTTCGCATCCATCCAAACATGCTCCGCGCGGATACCCGGACGATGCGCGCCGGCGTGAAATGAGGGTTGGATAAGATACTCCAAGTAATCCATCCCCGCGATGGAGGGATTCGCCATTCGCCCATTGTGCAGATTTTGGACCCTTTCCAATTCATGGGTTTGCTTGGAAAGGGCACCCCGCTCGAGATGATGATTGATGTATGAAATGGAATACGAAAGCCAGGAAAAGCCAGCACTCAGCGCTGCGCACGACTCCCAACCTCCTCTCCGAAATACCAACTCTGGTCCTCTCAACGAGTAAACGCCTTTGCATTTTCCATTTGAACCTTTCTTGTCCAAGAGCGGGAGTGGATGCCCTAGGAGGAATAAAAAAAGATCCGTTTCCTCAACGAAAGCCGCATTCATGAAAAGGTCGGCCTTGCTTTCGGCGTCATTGACGACGTGCTCTGAGCTCATCTTGTTGATCCTTTTGGGATTGCACTGAGGTGAGAAATACGGGGTGGAAAATTTAGAAAAACTTGCTTGCTCACATGGCGAGCCAAGAAGGATATCGGGAATCCATATCGGGATGCAGGAATTCTGCCGTGTTATGATTCGGCCTAATCGATCCATCGTTGGATTATACCTGAAACGAAGATGATTTCGTTCGAGCTGTTGGAGTTCCACCCAGAATTTCGAAGTGTGCTGCGCTTTCCTCATAAATTTACAGACATGCGGAGGAAACAATTCCCGCGAAATTAGATCCCACTGAAGTGTGCATTCATCCACTCGCTTTACAAGTGAATGGCGCATAGGAAAAGATGATTGCCTTGCTAAACAACCTTATTTTGCACGCCTATACACCAAAAGTATTGTCTCGTGGCAAGGCGTCTGCAGAGGGAGCACCAATAGAAATAAAAAGGGAAGATTATGGAAATATGGAAGAATCAACACAAGGGTGACTGCCCTCATAAATAAAAGACTTCCTGGACGAGAGAATCATTAAATAGTATCAATGAAAGATGCATAGGATGCAAATTATATGGTTTAAGGATTATTAACACGCCTTTTTCAGGCCTCTTACATTCCGGGCAGCGATGACTTCTTGCAGGGTTGGAACCATGGGAAAGTCGGGATCGGTTGGTTCGCTACCCAAAAATCCTTCGCCGGAGGTCACCACTAGGGAAATTAGTGCATCGCCAGGCAGATACGGAACCAAATCCGCATCCTGCCGCGTTTCCATGGAAGAAGGCAGGCGATGCGAGGGAAAGGCGCGCAGGTGCTTTTCTAAGAAATCTTCCTCCACGTATTTCTCGTTCGCACACGCAGTATCAACCCCGTCTTTTGCTTTTTCGATCGTATCCTGATTCGCGCCGCAGCACGGGCAGCGTTTCAGGCTGACAGAGCGCCGCACAATGTTGATAAGCGCGATGAGATCGTACTCATCGCGCAAGTCCGGCCGAGCGCGGGTGATAGCAGGGAAATCAAAATCATGCACCTCCCGCATATGCTCTAGACAATCCATCGACTCGTGCGGGCAGAACAAACAGATGCAGGGCTCGTTAAAGTCGTCATTATCATCCGAGCTGTTCTCATTTCGTTCAATCCACTCCTCCTCGTGATTATCTGCGTCCGTACGCTCGCTTCCGGAGGACGAACTGGTCGAGGAATCCGGCGAGGCGCATAAGCAAAACGGCGCCAACGAGGGGATTGCTTTAACATTCCAGTGTTGATGGAATAGGGTTGTGATGTGATCCTCCAACGCGGCTGGTGTGGGCTCCTCTAACTCCTCTCCGCACACCGGGCAGCACCACTCAGACGCCTCCTCAGACCGCTCCCCCTTATCATCGATCTCTTGCCCAAGCAGACGGGATTTTAAATGATTAAAAAAACCATCCAAATCCGAAACGTTCTCGGACGCTGAACAAAATACCGCATGCTGCAGCATGAGATGCTGCAAGAGTGCCTCGTAATCGCCAAGCTCAAGGGAACAAAGGATGCAATAAACGGAGCCATCAACACCCTTTTTAAGACGATTCAAAACCTGATTACAGCCCTTCCGGAGTTCTGTGTGGGACGGCATTTTGAATACAAATCGTCTGAAATTTCACAGTTGTTATCTCTTCCTTGCCTTTAAAGTCCCTTTAATCTGAAAGAAGGAAGCAGTCAAAGGAGGTATGTTTTTTTGATGGAAGAGGCTAGATAAAACTAGATGTACAGAATAAACGTGTAGAGGGGTGGATAAAATATACCTTACGATGTAAGTGGTTATGAAACACTGTTTGTATTATGAAGTAGGTGAGATTGAAAAAAGGAGATGTACAACCCCACTCGTATAACTGATCGTGTATTGCCTGCAGAAACTGCAGCTAATTTTTCGAACAGTTTTTCTCACTAAAATTTACCTGTACAACTTCAATAAGAAGCCTCGTCAAACACATAAAAAGAGAGGCTAACACATAACTCCCTTCCAGATGCCTCCGAAGACTCCATGATAGCAAACAGTAGAGCAAGAGATAAGGTGAAAAAAAAGAAGAACACCAAACGCTAACAAAGGCTTAGGAAACCTGTAAGCGATAGAAAGTTGATGTTTCACCATTTCAAGCTACTCCCTCTTCAGCGAAGCACGGTCCATCGTGAATCATAGGAAAGAAAAACATACCCCTCTCTCTCTCTCACACACAAACACACACACAAAGGAGAAACTGAGCAGCTAATGCGTTTCTGGAGTAGCCTCTACTCTATTTCCCGAAGCATCCGCCGAAGCTCCTCCATCGCCCCCTCCTCGGCGTGCCGCACATCCCCCTCAAACCACCTCAATGAGGGTACCCCAAACGACATCTCGCGCTCCTCCTCTTCCCCCGTCGCGTGGTAGGGAAAGGAAAGCCTCGCGGCATGCAAAAGATGCCGTGCGCAACGCCACGCTGGCGTGATGGAATCCGCGGGAAACCTCTCTTCCGTATCCCGAACCCGCGCGAAGTAGACGTTATCCTCCACGGGAAAGGAAAACCCGACCTCCCCTGGTTGTCGTGTGGTGTAAAGTTTATCCCCGAGAACGGGGTAGCCGAGATGGGCGCAGTGCAGACGAATCTGGTGGGTTCGCCCCGTAAGAAGGTCAATTTTCGCGAGAGAAATCCCCCAACGCGCGCTCGACGCCACGACACGAACGCGCGAGATCGCCACCTTCCCGAGCGATTTGGTTTCCGGAACGTCCGTCGTAGAGGTCTTTGTGAAGGCGCGCTCGCGGTTGATTGCCTCCCGCAACACATCCTCCACACAGACCATCTTCAGCTTCGTTAATTTCCCGTGTTTTTGCGCGAAATCGTCAGAGGGAGGGAGACTTCGGATCGACGCGATCCGTGCGTTCACGACGACCTCCATTCCTTTCGCCGCCGCCCCGGAGAGGATCGCCACGTAGGACTTCCGCACCGCCTTCGCTTCCTCGTGAAGGCGCGCAAACATCGCGGGCGAGATGACGGCGTCGAGTGGATTCGACGAAGATCCCAATAGCCGTGGTAAAACCGCAAAAGATGGTGAAACAGCGCAGATAACGTTTTCAATGGCGTCGATGGTGGCGGTGGACTGCTGTTGAAACCTCCCTCCAATGTGTTTGGCGACTTTTGAGCTCTTCGCGATCACTAAAACCCCGGACGTCTCCTTGTCAAGGCGATGGATCGGGTAGAAATCAAACGGAGACTCCTTTGCTTCAGTGTCCTCACGGGGTCGTTTGGGGGACACGGCGGATCTCACCCGAATGGATTCGTTTCCCACCCCCTCCAACGTTTTATTCGTGTAGAACGGACGGGTGCCGCGCCGACGGAGAATCGAAATCAGTGTATTTTCGCAGTAGCAGCCTCCTTCGGATACGGGTAAGTTCCCATTCTTCACGCACACGACCACCTTTGCATCCTCGTAAAGAATCTCGATCCGCGCATCATCCACCGGCGGCTCGAGAGTGCGCGGCGGTGCGAACGTGATGATATCATTTTGCCGAAGAATGGAGTTCCCATCGGAAACTTGGACTCCACCAATGGAAAGATGACCCGCGTGTAGGTGTTCTTTCCACTGTGTGATAGTTAAATAAGAGAATTTGGTAGATAAAAAGTCTAAAAGCGTCTCTTCGGAGCTTAGTCTTGGTCTGGAATAGCGAAAGGTGCGTGGCATTTACAAAAAAAAAATAATGGACGCCAAAGAACGTCAGAAGTCTACATGAGACAGATCCGTTCTAACCAAATGACTGATTAGGGGTTAAGAGACGTTGCCTTTAGTGTAGACTATGTTATGAGCAGAAAGGATACCTTTCTTCAAAACGAGTAAAGGTTTAAAAAGATAAGGAAAGAAGAACGTAGATTGAGGGCAATCTCCAGGAATCGAGTGATTAATGCTTGATCAATAAACTATCAAACCCCTATCGTGGGAGCGATGGTGTAAATAAGAGAACAAATTCGGAATGTCCAAGGGTCGTATTTTGAAGATTCCACAAGGAATCGTACATGTACAAAATTGCCGGGAACTCAATTAGAAAGCAACAACAAAAAAAACGATGAATTTCAATTTACTGAAACGAAGAGGCCCATGTGTGGCAGCCTTTGGATCCGATTTGTGAACTTGCTCAAAAAGATAAACGAATGCAAGTACATTTGCGTGCTTACATATATATATATATATATTACCTTTTATATGCCGTAGCTTAAGTAGTGTAAAGAGGAAATTTATCCAAGCCTCTCTCACACACCCTAATGCTGTGGATTACCGACTTTATTCTCCTTTGTGCGCTCTCAAGGAACATGCAGTTGGCGCAGATGTTTCGACATATCTCGCGGCCAAACGCCCATAGTGATGCGCTTTTCATGCTCCCTCTTGCTAGAAAATATCGCTTGACGGTCTGAACCCTCATCCAAAGTGAAACCCTCTTAGAAAACGTTGCACAATGCTTGGGCAGCGTGAGGTTGGCGGGTGTAAAGGTTAATCGGTAGCGGATCTGCGCCCCGCGTATGACATCTTCAAGCCTTACCTGGAATGTTAGCTTGGTGAGATTTTCTTGTCTTGCGGTATAGCATCAAGAGACTACTTATCAACGCCTTTGACAGACGTTAAAGAAAATGTCAACATGTTTCCTAGTTAATAAAAATGAAAGAGAAAGAAGATAAATTTCAGTCAGCACTGAAGGTGATATCCATATCTCCCCCCTGTTCCCTAAAAAAAAAAAAAAGACCAACGGACACAAACAAAACTTAGTGATTAAACAAAGACTCAATATTTCTTGTTAGT